GTTTTAAGAACACTAAGAGTCCTGCTGGATCAGAGTTATATACCCAGCTCCATCCCATACATGCTTAAAAGATGTTGTTGTTTAGTCGTGTCCGATTCTTCGTGACCCCATGGACCAGAGCACGCCAGGCACTCCTGTCTTCCACTGCCTCCCGCAGTTTGGTCAAACTCATGCTGGTAGCTTCGAGAACACTGTCCAACCATCTTGTCCTCTGTCGTCCCCTTCTCCTTGTGCCCTCCATCTTTCCCAACATCAGGGTCTTTTCCAGGGAGTCTTCTCGTCTCATAAGGTGGTCAAAGTATTGGAGCCTCAGCTTCACGATCTGTCCTTCTAGTGAGCACTCAGGGCTGATTTCCTTAAGAATGGATAGGTATGATCTTCTTGCAGTCCATGGGACTCTCAAGAGTCTCCTCCAGCACCATAATTCAAAAGCATCAATTCTTCAGCGATCAGCCTTCTTTATGGTCCAGCTCTCACTTCCATACATCTCTACGGGGAAAACCATAGCTTTAACTATACGGACCTTTGTTGGCAAGGTGATGTCTCTGCTTTTTAGGATGCTGTCTAGGTTTAGGATGCTGTCTAGCTTAAAAGATAACATTATATTAATGTGTAAGATGAGCCCATTCAATTCAACTAAACAATTAGCAACCAAAAGAAACTTTATGAGGATCAGGAAGAGATCAAAAAACCATCTAGCACTCTGCCGCAGGTGGGGGTCCTGCTCAATATAGGCCAAAGATTGCAAATACTTACAGCAACCTGGAGTGTGAATTTGCATGCTGATTTCCTCATATGTGAAAACAAAGTAAAAGTAAAAATGTTCTACTTGTCTGCCACAATTTATTATCTTATTTCCTTGGGAAAACACCTTTCCAACTCAGAAGCCCAACCTAAACATTTGCTAGCTATTTGCTGTCCTGGTCATTTGGGGGAATGGGAGAACATCAGTGTCTAAAAACCTTCTTAGATAGCTTAGAGAGGTGGTCAGGGCAGTTCCATCATCGGCTTGCTACATGTGCCATGTTTCTGGAGGTCAAAGCAGAAATTCAGCATGAGGTTCAGGCCTGGAGCCTCTGCCCTGTTGCTGATGGGCAGTTCCACAGCCGTTGCAGCAGCCCAAGTGTGACTTTTTGAGTTTCTGGTCCATTGTCTTTCTAGATTCAGAGGGGCTAATACAGTTTCCTGCCAAGGGTGCAAGAGATGGGGGCGGGCACCAATATGGCTCCATGCCAAAAACACACAGGAGCCTAGTTACGCCTCTGCCCTAAGATAAAAAAGGTAAAGGTACCCCTGCCCGTACAGGCCAGTCTTGACAGACTCTAGGGTTGTGCGCCCATCTCACTCAAGAGGCCGGGGGCCAGCGCTGTCCGGAGACACTTCCGGGTCACGTGGCCAGCATGACGAAGCTGCTCTGGCGAGCCAGAGCCGCACACGGAAACGCCGTTTACCTTCCCGCTAGTAAGCGGTCCCTATTTATCTACTTGCACCCGGGAGTGCTTTCGAACTGCTAGGTTGGCAGGCGCTGGGACCGAGCAACAGGAGCGCAACCCGCCGCGGGGATTCGAACCGTCGACCTTTCGATCGGCAAGCCCTAGGCGCTGAGGCTTTTACCCACAGCGCCACCCACATCCCTCTGCCCTAAGATAGTTGGATAGAATAATGTTAAACTGTAACTGCTTTTACATGTTTTTAATTATAATTGTTTTTTAACTGTTTTAACTGTTTTAGAATGGCTTGGCTTGGCTTTTAAACTGTGCATCTGCCATTCTCAGCTCTTTTGGAAGAAAGAGTTGGATATAAATTCAATTATTTTTATTATTATTAATAAATTAGCATATGAAAAGTTGATGCACATCAATGTCTTTTTTTGTGGGTGATGCATTTCCTCTTTATTTGAAAAAGTCACATTCAGTGAGGCTCTAACATGTCAGCTTTGTTCTTCTGCTCGGCTTCTGGAGGAAAAAAATTCAAAGAAACCCCGCACTTGCCAAAACATCTTAGAACCAGGAAGCAAAGGCTCAGCACCATTTACAAGGCTCAGATGAGAAACCATGTGCATGATCCCCACCCTAGCTGGAATGCTCCAGATGTTTTGGATGTGTTAGACTAGGACCTGCAAAAGCAGGGTTCAAATCCCAAACTCAGCCATGAAGTCCACTGGGTGACCTTGGGCCAGTTCGTCTCTTTCTCTCAGCCCAACACAGAGTAACACATGAAACCGGTCGATTCAGTTCAGTATTGTCTACACCACTGGTCTTGAGCTGGTGGGTTGGAACCCACTAACATGCTGCAGCCCGATCCAAGGTGGGTTGCAACAAGAGCGCTACCACCCTGCAAGTATATGGGAAAAGATTAAGAAATGGGTCCCCAGATGCATGTATGATTAAAAGGAGGTCCTGGGTCTTCAAAGGCTGAAGATACTTGGTTTGCGCTGATTGGCAGCAGCCCTCCAAGATTTCAGGCAGGATCTTTCCCAGTCCCACCAGGAGATGCTGGGGACTGAACCTGATGCCTTCTGCATGCTAAGCAGTTGTTCTACCACTGAGCTATGGCCCTAGCTCACAATATTGCTGTCAGGATAAAATGGATAAGGTGGAGGCTGAAGTGTGTATGCTCTGTGGAGGAAAGGTGGGATAGAAGTATAAGAAGGAATAAAGTATGTCAACTAGCCTATAAGTGAATAAACTACAGTATGTTTTTAACTTACTCTCCTAATAATTTGTATATAAATTATAAAAGTGGTATATAAATTTTGTTAAATAAAAAAAGAGGAAATGTTCAGACTTTCAAACAGTATGTTATGCCTGAGCCTTCATTGCTGAAACTCCCAGGCTTGACAACAGCACTGTTATGCTCACAAACACCTGATGAAGGAACCATTGTGACATAACCCATTCAAGTAGAGATAAGGGGCAACAGGCTGTCAACAGTGGCAGTAGTTGGGAGCTTCCCAGCTATTAAAAAGCCACATAGAGTCTTTTCATACTGCCTGAGGAATTAATCCCTTATTTAACATTCATAATTGCTGGATTGATTTAACAGGACTGGAGCTAACATTTACTTGGATTTGGCACCATTGATAGGCAACTGCCTGCTGCATCCTCCGCTTTGAAGGCACCCTGGTCTTTGGGCCTCCAGCACCTTCTTCAGCATGGCCAACCCATCTAGGAGGCGTTTGATGCTGGTGTTCTACTGGGTCAGGAAGCCCCTGACAGAGAAGCCATGCCCTACCATCTCAGCCAAACCTTCTGCCTCTGCACCAGCTTACAACACTCCTCACATTTCACCCTACTTCACGAGGAGCAAGACACAACCTCCTCCGCTCAGGAGGTCCAGCAGGCGCAAGGTGCTTCGATTGCCAAATCTCATCGACCCCGTGTTTTTAAGATCTGCCATTGGCAGCGTTGGCCGGAAGAGAGCCCGCAGGCGTGGCAAGCAAAAGAAGACTCCAGCAGAAAAAGGAAAAGGGGTGAGGGCTAGGCTAGAGGCAAGAAGGCTCCAAAGCTATTTGCGGGGTGGGATTGCTTTGGAAGATGCCTTCTCACAATCTCTTCCCTTGAACCACGTAAGGACATAAGAAGTTCCTGCTGGATGAGGCCACACTGGCCTGTCTAGTCCAGCATCCTGTTCTCACAGTGGCCAACCAGAGGCCTGTGGAAACAAGAGCATTCTGTATTCCCTTACTGCATCTTCCAGCAACTACTATTCACAAACGTTACTGCCACTCACTGTGGAGGTAGAGCATTGCAGTTTGTAAAGGGTGCTGCAAATTGTAGCTATGCGGTAGAAGGGTAATCTACAGTTCCCAGGATTCTTACAGGGGAGAAGTGACAATGCTTTTAATATTTGGTGTGTACACAGCCTCAAATTAGCTACACCAGCTCTGAGCAAAGATTATAATGCATATTGTTGTTGTTGTTTTACTTTTATAAATATTATAAAACCCATTCCTGCAAGCCATGTAGTCTGGAATAAACTCAGTCACCCCTCCCGTCATTAATTGTTGTCATAAAAGGTAAAGGTAAAGGTACCCCTGCCCGTACGGGCCAGTCTTGACAGACTCTAGGGTTGTGCGCCCATCTCACTCAAGAGGCCAGGGGCCAGCACTGTCCGGAGACACTTCCGGGTCACGTGGCCAGCGTGACGAAGCTGCATCTGGCGAGCCAGAGCCGCACACGGAAACGCCGTTTACCTTCCCGCCAGTAAGCGGTCCCTATTTATCTACTTGCACCCGGGAGTGCTTTCGAACTGCTAGGTTGGCAGGCGCTGGGACCAAGCAGCGGGAGCGCACCCCGCCGCGGGGATTCGAACCGCCGACCTTTCGATCGGCAAGCCCTAGGCGCTGAGGCTTTTACCCACAGCGCCACCCGCGTCCCCTCAATTGTCATAGGAGTTCCTAAATGCAGATGGAGCTTATTAATTTTAATAGAGCTACTCCAGAGTAAAGAAAACTGTAGCTTATGGCATTACACTAAATGCTAATTAGGCTTGACATTTGATAATTATATAGTCATAAAGTAAACAAGAGTTAGAAAATAATTTCTGGTGTTACCATTGTTCTAGCTGATGGCACTGCAAGGCCCAGCAGATTGTAGAGGATGTCTAGATAAATGGAATGGGAGAGACATAAAAAGCAAAAAATTGTAAATTGTATTATTTATTTTCTAACACTGTATTTTTTAAAAACAAAAAATATATTCACCACACCTTAATTTCCATCTATTATTATTATTCGTCTGTTAATTAGACTGCATTATTAATATTATTATGAATAATTGAAACCTCCTCCCTTATTTTTCATCTACTGTTATTACTGCAGTCTGTTCATAAGAATAATATTATTCTTAATACGAATATTAGTGTTATTAATACTGAGGTCTTCTTCCTCGGCTGCAAAAATACAACAGCGCCCCTCCCTTCCTAGGAAGCGGCCTAGTGGAGTTGCCATTGACAACCACTCTCAGCCTCCTTTTCCCCCCCTCGAAGGGGCGGGCCCCTTCTGGCCCAGCATGCTTTGCGCGGACTCAACATGGCGGCGCCCAGCCCCAGCACGTCCGGACCGGCGCCCGCTTTCCCTTTCCCCTTCTCCGCCTCGACGGCCGGGGCTGAAAAACCCGCGGAGGGGCAGCCTCTGCCGGCCGCCGAGCCGAAGAAGAAGAAGCCGCCCTGTCGGGCCTGCACGGACTTCAGGAGTTGGATACGGGATCAGAGGAAGCAGTCGGACCTGGTGAGGGCTGGCCGTGGGGCTCCGGAAGGCCGCAGGGAGGGCGGGAGGAGGGAGCCGTGGCCCTTGGGAGCCCCGCGAGGACGCAGGGCGGGAGGAGCTGGGCGAGGGGGCGAGAGCAGCCGGTCCCCCGCTTGCCTTGGGACTAAGGGGAGTGGAAGGTGAGGGAGAAGCTCGATGGCGCGATCTTATTTAATTATTACATGTATATCCGTTGCTTTTTTTTCTTAAAAAGAAAAAGTTTAAGGGTACTTTCATTTTCACCCAAGAAAATCACCATTTTATAGTTCAAATCGGGAAAAATAAATACAGTAAATGGACAAAAGTACAAAGATTCACAAAATGTTTAGGGGTGTGTGTACCCCTGCGTTCCCCCAGAAAAAAGCACTGTGTGTCTCCCACCTTTCCCTAAGAAGTGCAAGGTGGTGTACATGGCTCTCTGTCTCCCCATTTTATCCTCGCAACAACTGTAAAGGTTAGGCTGAGAGACCGTGACTAGCCTAAGATCGCCCACTGAGCTTCATAGTTGAGTGGGGATTTGAACCCTGGTCTGCCACATCTTAGTCTAATACTGTAACTGCTACACAACTTGCACAACTCCTTAACAACTATCTCAAGGTGAGACACACAAAAGGTAATTAAAATTACCAAACCAACAGATACATTTAGCACAAGACTAAAACCCTGGCAAGTGGGCACTTGCAGTAAAGACCCATTGATTCAGCTGGGAAAGCCTGTTGGAACAAAAACTTCTTCAGTTGTTTCTGGAAACTGCAGGTGGCTCATGGAGCATTATGGGATGTAAGGAGAGGGATGTCACAGGGTTGAACTTGCCCTTGGGACATGGAGAGAGTGTTGTAAAAAGTATGACCCGCCTTAACCCGATCATTGTGGAATGAATCATGTGGGGCAGAGATATTCTCCTTCCTTGTTGAATTTATAGAGACATGAGAAGCTGCCTTATACTTGACTATAAACTGCCTTGAGCATTAAAAACGTTAGATATGACTGCTGAAAGTAAATAACTAAAAGATTTCTGATTCAGTTCCAAGAGTTTAACTCTGAGGTATATCCAACTAAGCTCTACTCAGATAAGACCCACTGGAATTAAAGAACCTAAGTTAGGCATGCCCATTAATTTCAACAGGTATCCTCTGTGTAGCATTTGCTACAACCCTCTATCAAGCTTTTTTACAGGGTCCAGTGGGACCATGGGTTGATCTTCCTTGTTCAAAGACCTGTTCCCAGAAGCTCTTTAAACCTGTGGAACTCTCTTCAGGCCTCTAGGAAGTAGTGGATCCAATGCCTTTCTGCCCTGAGGATTCAGTGGCTCTGTCTCAGGGTTCAAAATTAGCAGGGCACCAGGCATATTTTGCACCTAAAGATACTCCATTTGCAAGCACCTCAAAAAATCTGGGTTCCATTTTTTGCGCCTGGCTGACACTCAAGGTTTACTGAAATGTATGTGCTTTGAAGCCTCAAAGTATATGTTAAGAATAGATAATATGTTAAGGAATTTCACAGTAGAGTGTTTTGAAAACTGAAGTACGGCACCAATATTTTTATTGTAAACACCAAATTAAACATGTATTAACAATGTCTGCTAAAAATGTGGTATTAACAACATGTCACATGTGAATTGCATATTAGTTCATGCTTATCAAAATAATAAAAAAGTGTTGCTAATACCCCACCCCCCAGTGGTGCCTAGACATTCTGTTTTGGTGCCCGCAACCCAAGTCCCAGAAGCCATTTGGCTCTTAGCTTTTCTATCCCAGTTTCTAACACTGCTCTGTCTCTGGAGTCCCATAAAACTTGGTGGTGGGAGATTCCTGCCATTGTGGTTCCGCTTATTGGTGCCCTGGCTCAGGTTGGGAGAGATTCTTGGGGGGTATAAGGAAGATTTGGACATAGCTTCTGTAGTTTTACTAATTACAGCTGAAAACTATGCATACAAATATTGGTGAGGTGTTCTGTCTGTGCTGACATCACAGCACAGACATCACAGTGTGACTTGGCACAGTATGCTTTGCCCAACCTGGCTTAATGCCAAAACTGACAGAGGACAGTTTGCATAGGCGGTGGAAGGGGAAGCGAGCAGGGCCTTTGACGCAGCTGTGACTTAAAAATCTGCTTTAGAGTCACAGTGTGCAGGACTGTTCTGTGTTTTCTCTGGCTTGTTGCTGATGAGTACATGTTTTTTCCAATCTAGGAAACAGGAGCCGCAGAGAAGGAGTTTCCTCCTGATTGCCCTTTAGATAGAGAACAACTGGGGAGAAGTTCGTGGTCGTTTCTTCACACAATGGCAGCGTTTTACCCGGATCGGCCCACTAAAACTGAGCAGAAAGACATGGTTCAGTTCATCAACTTATTTTCCAAGTTTTTCCCTTGTGACGAATGTGCAGAGGACCTGAGAAGCAGGTGAGTGAACCAGCCAAGTAGGTCCCATGCCTCACCTGCAAGAAGTGGCATTTAGCATCACAATGGTATTTCTGTTAACCGCAATACTAGGTCACTAAGCACCCACCTTGAGGCTTGCTCTTGTTTCTGTATAAGGTCCAAGTGATGAGCCATCTTAAATCACTGGCAATTCTGCCTGTAATTTTCAAGCCTGCTCTCTTGAGAGTGTGATGCCATTCCCACACTTCCCAGGAATTGATTTGGGGTGAGAATATAATCCAATTTCACACCTGTTCTAACACTCTCTTAACTTCCCAACCCAGGAATCTTGGTATGAGGTGGATTGTAGTAGAGGCTGGTCCATCAGGGAAGAGAGGAACTGCCCTGCTAACCTCAGTCTGCCCTCTGCCAATCTCCACCTGCCTACTTCCTTACTTAGAACCAGTCTGGGAAGTGGCACCGCTTGCCATCTTTCTCCTGCTTCTTAGTTTCAGTGTTGCCCCTTGCAAAACTTCATAGAGAGGAGGATGGGGACAGAACCAGAAGGAGTTGGCTGTACCTGTTTATAGGTTCTGGCTTCACCTACTGTTTGGTTCCTTGACTTGCACCCCACCAGTCCTTAGGGGGCACCAGCCACTTCTGGTGAATGGGAAGTTAAAAAAAATGCCATTGGACTCTGATTGGTTTTCCCTCATACACAGATTACGAAGAAACCAACCTGATGCCAGCAACCGGCGTAATTTGACACAGTGGTTCTGCCGGCTTCACAACGAGGTCAATAAGAAGCTGGGGAAGCCCGAATTTGACTGTTCCCTTATAGATGAGCGTTGGCGAGATGGCTGGAAGGACGGGTCCTGCGATTAGATAACCTAGCAAGTGCAAGATTGGTTCAGCTTGATTAAAAGAAGCTAGAAAGAACTATGAAATCAAGCCTTGTATGGACTTTTGCTGAAGCGTACAATTGATCTTTGGTATTGAGGTTGTGGTGATACAGGAGGAGGAGGAGGTGCAGGTGTTAGAATAGATGTCCTGCCTGATTGTTTCTGATTCTGGAAAAAGTAACAAGAAGGTCCTGAAGTAAGCTAGTCTTATGGGAATTTTCTACCTGCTGGTTGTCTTTTCCAGACCACATACTTACTAGCAAATGCTGCCTTAATTTTTTTTTCTTTCAGTACTTTCTTAATGGTAGGAAAAAACATTTCTCCAGCCACTGAACTACTAGGCTGGGGAAAAAAGTTTTAGAACTTTTTTTTGCCACCCCCAGTTCTGCAATCTGCCTTCATTTTGTTTGTCTCTATGATCAGATTTTACGTTGTGTCTTTTTTCTTCCCTTATCCTTGTAATCTGGAATGGTTTAAAAATTATTTTAAAGAGAGTACTATTTAACCACTGTGGAGCTGCAGGGCTCTCTTTGTTCAAGGGATACTAAAACCATCCTTTTCCAACTTTTGGTGCCCTTCAGCTGTTTAGGACTACAACTTCCAGTGGTCTCAGCACAGCCATTCTGACTGGTGCCAGTGGGAATTGTAGTGCAAAACAGCTGAAGGGCACCAGGTTGGGGAAGGCTGCCTTATGTTTTCCACAGGTTAATTAAGGTACAAAGAAGTTTACAGAGTTGTAGAATCCCAGTAACTTTGCTGAAGTCCTAAAGCAGGGAAAATAAAGTAATTTCTGAGTGCAAGTCTAGGTCTCACATTTCAGCTTTGTCAACAGATATTTTTCTTTGATTTCTATCTGTCTGGCAAGAGGGAAATATAAATGAAAGGAATGATTAAGCACAGGGAAATTAGGATTATATATGCCATGTATTAAAATATAACTTGTGAGAGGTGGGGTTCATGAAGGTCATATTAGCCCTACAGCACTGGGAAGAGTCACTGAGCTTCCTTTTTCAAGGAAGGTTTTATTAACTCAGCAGAACTTTGTGTGCAGGAAGTCAGGCGTTCTGTGAAATTATAATAAGATATAGTTGTGCACTGAGCATATGAAGGTAGAGATGGACCATTACGTCTTGTAGGAATCCTTGTGTGAACAGCTTGCATTGGCAGTGGGTTGAAGACCTGGCAGTGAGTATTTGAAGAGATCATTGGCCCTTGCAAACACTTTACATGGGTGGCATTACGGCTCTTGCGCTGCAGAAAGTCCTGAGCTGTGAATTGTACTGCATTTTGATTTAGGGTAGATTTTAACTTTTTACTCTCAAGTGAAATTTAGATAACTTGCACTTAAGCAACAATTATGTGAAGCTGTTGGCCTGATTTAGATGTAACCATGGTTTGTTTACATATACAAGCTGGGTCAAGCCGTGAGCTTGCGTGTTCCACCGCCTCTTCTTCCTTCAAGCACAACAGGAAGATGTTTGAGCCTTCCATTTTCTCATTTTGTCCAAATATGGGAAAGTGGTTTGAAGAAACCATGGTTCAGTGTTCCTGGTTAGTTAACTATCAAATAATAGTTTTTATATCATGGTTTGTTGTGGTTCTAGATACGTACACTTGCCTCCTCATACATCATGAACAACTTTAATAGCCATGTATATAGAAACATCTATGAGTGAGTTTCATCACTGGAAACAAACAGGTAGCTCTTGGGCACCTTCTTAACAAAACCTGGCTTCATATGACTGCATATGCCCTGCCCCAGTAATCTACATATAGGTTGCCTTGTTTGTACTAGATTTCCTGGTCTCCTGCTTTCAGGGTAACATCACAATATAGATCAAAAGACTTCTGGGCTTCGGCATCCTTCGCCAATCTGGTCCCCTCCTGGTGTTTTGCACTTACAACTCCCATCAGTTCTGAGACTGATGGGAGTTGTAGTCCAAAATGGCTGTGCTGGCTGGGGCTGATGGGAGTTGTCAAAAACACCAGGAAGGCACCAGGTTTATGATGGCTGGGCAAAGGGATGCAAGGTTCTGGCCCGGAGGTGGGGCCTGTGCTTTGAAACGCTCCTAAGAAGCCAGTGAAATGGCAGTCCCTAAGCTGCCAGTGTTTCACCTTCATCCACTGCAAGCCAGACTAGAATCCTGCAATTTACAGCAGGTGGACCAGGGAGAATGGCATGTGAGGTTAATAGGCTCCAGCCTAGCTTGGTGCATTTTAAAGCACTTTCACGGTACCTAGGCAAGAAGGTGGCAATCCCATGTGGTGGCTGTATGGCTAAAGGTTTCGCTGAAGGAAAAGTGATGTTTTGTATCTTGACTGAAAAGTTGAGCTGCTCTATATAATTTATTTTGAGGCATTTCTGTTTATCGATAATGTCAATTATCTAAATGCACTTGATGAAGGCAGTTGGTAAAGTGTATCTCAAAAATGTATTTATTTCCTGGCTGGTGACCAAACAATAAAGTTAAGTATTTCCTTTACTCCTCCCTCCCATTTTAATTTTTAAAAAAACATTTTGTCCACATTGTAGGGCCTTAGTAACCTGGGAAGGAGGGACAGAGAGAGAGAGAGAGTTGGTTGTGGTTTTATTTTCTATTCGCAAGGCAGATTCAGATAATAAATTACATTTGCAGAGAGATAAGTGAGGCATCATATTAAAACACAGAATAGTTTGTAGGAAAATAGTATAACATTCCATAATTCCTCAAACAGTGGCTAAGAAGGTAAAAAGGTAAAGGTACCCCTGCCCGTACGGGCCAGTCTTGACAGACTCTAGGGTTGTGCGCCCATCTCACTCAAGAGGCCGGGGGCCAGCGCTGTCCGGAGACACTTCCGGGTCACGTGGCCAGCGTGACATCGCTGCTCTGGCGAGCCAGAGCCGCACACGGAAACGCCGTTTACCTTCCCGCTGGTAAGCGGTCCCTATTTATCTACTTGCACCTGGGAGTGCTTTCAAACTGCTAGGTTGGCAGGCGCTGGGACCGAACAACGGGAGCGCACCCCGCCGCGGGGATTCGAACCGCCGACCTTTCGATCGGCAAGCCCTAGGCGCTGAGGCTTTTACCCACAGCGCCACCCGTGTCCCTGGCTAAGAAGATATTGGGTCTTAAATGGGCATGATCCAACAGAGCTATTCTTCTGTTTATGTTCTTATTGGTGTTGGGCGGGGAAGGAGCAGTTTTACAAGGAAGGGTAATCTAATGCTGTAAAGCATGTCGTTTCTTTGTGCCTTTAACAGTTACCTAGAAGGGAGAATTTTAACAGATGCAGTGAAACAGATGGGGAAAACGGTGCCTGCTCAAATTCTCCTTTCTACCGAGCTCTTAATCTTTCATTACAGCGACTTAGAAGCAGACAGTTCACCAGTGTCATTTTCCCACTAATTATCATAGAATCTTCTCACATAAGTACATCCACTTAAAAGCATCAACAGCCTCTTCTAGGATTCTGCTGTATTGAATGATAAATTCAAATCTAACCTAGAACCCTAGGCCTCTTGTTCTCACTTATTCCTAGAATGTGCCTTGTTTCATCGTCTTGTGCCTCATCAAAGGTGGGGATGGCTTTCAGCCAGTCAATCAATCAATCAATCATTCATTTTATTTCTATGCTGCCTTTCCAAAGCTAAAATTGTGCTCAAAGCAACTTACAACATATAAAAATTACATAACTAAAAGCGCAACAAAAGTTGTAAACAATAAACAAAACATCAAAAAGCATACAACCAGATTGGACAATTTCCACATAGATCCCAAGATCAAAAATAAAGCTACGAAGAATTAACAGCAACCCCCGTCCCAACAAAATGCGCTAAATAATACCTCAGCACAGCATTTCTTTCTTGCACAAGTTTCATGGGGTTAGCTAATAACTGCCCCTTCAGAGCCAAGTAGGCATTGTCTACATTCTCAAAAGCTGTGCTAATTTCCAAACCCTAATCCGGGGTGTGGTGTGGGGAAGACCAAGGGCTCTGAAGGTGGGTTGAAAGCACCTGTGCTGAGGTACAAGAAGTCATCAGTGGGTGAGGGAGCGGGATAATGTGTTTTCTGAAAGAACACCTTAATTTTAAGTCTCAGCACCATTACTAGTGGAATAATGGGCACACATTTAAAGCTTCAATTTTGGTTTATTCACATCAGCTCATTTCAATAATATTCCATAATCAGGCACTGTTCGTTTTTTCCACTATTCCTGCATTTAGCAGTGCCCTGATTCAGTCTGAGGGTTGCCACTTTGCCACCAATGCATGTTACATCTTCCTTTTTCTTTTTTTTTTTTAAAGGAAGTGTTATGCCGGTGGGTGACATTAAAGAAGGGAACTCTGAATGTTGCCTATCCCTCTGGCGGTTGGAAAAAGGCAGAGAGATGATGACTCACCTGTAATTGAGAGTGAAAAATCTTAAAGGCATACTAATGAATCTTACAAGTGACGTTTTTTCAGATTCCCCTCTTGGCTCCCCCACCCCATCCCCCGGTAGGAAATCAGCAGAGCTCTCCCCACCCTAGAAGGGGCAGATCAGAAGGAAGGACGAATTTTGAATAATTTTTATTCCTTTCTCCCCAGAGATGGGCATCTTGTTCATTGACTTGTCTTCAAATATGTGCTATTTATAAGCTGTGCATGTGTCTGTTGCAAAAGGGTAAACCAAGGTACAGCCGGGGGGGGGGGGGGAGTTACGACAGGAGTCAAGCTTTGAAAGAATCCAGATGCCAGTTGTAATTCTGGGTGTAATTCCCCTCCCTCTTTTTCTCTCTTCCCAGTCCAGAGCAGAGAAATGATGTCAAAGTTGTCATGGTATCAGTATCTATGGCATGAAAATCATCAATATGATGTCAGGGAGGGAGGGGTTGAGAAAGGAGGGTTTAGGATGGCAGCCTGGAAAGGGGGGAGGATTCCTTTTAGCATTTTGCGGTAACATCCACATTGTCACGGTCTGCATCCCTCCTTTACGAATTATCTAGAACAATTAACACTTCTTCATTCTGTATTCGAGACTGCTGGTGTGGGTTAGAAGCCTATAAACATGCATTGAAGCAAGTTGGGGTGGAAGGAAAATCTAGCTATTTCCTGAGTGTTCAGAACATGTCACCTAATCCAGAACAACAGTCCTGTCAGGTAGGCCAGCATTTTCTCCAAATTGCAGGGAAAGGCTCACCAGAGGCCACTTGCTGTGTTGATGGTTAGAGGCAAGATTCAAACTTTGGGGACTTTCTAATTCATAGCTCTGCTTCTAGGCAACAGCTGCTACAGATCTTTTTTTATTCGGGGACGTAGGAAGTGGCCTTATCCTGAGTCAGACATTCAGTCCATCATTCTAGCCTACTGCACTGACTGGCAGTGGCTCTCCAACATTGCAGATAGGGAGTCGTTCCCAGCCCAAACTGGAAATGCCATTGGGGATTATACCTTCTGCATGCAAAACAGGTGCTCTACCACCAAGTTGCAGCCCTTCAATGCTGCCTTCTACTGAATCAGACCATTGGACCATCTAGCTCAGTGCTGTCTACACTGACTGGCAGCTGCTCTCCAGTCTCGAACTTTCTGCATGCAAAGCAGATGCCCTACCACTGAACTGTGGTCGTTGTAGTATTTATATTCTGCCCTTCTCAATATAGCAATTATAGTGGCAGCATACACAGTTCTTACCCATCCACATTTTACCCTCACAACAACCCTGTGAGGTAGGCTAGGCTAAGAGGCAGTGACTGGCCGAAGGTCACCCAGTGAGCTTAATGGCTCCTGGTCTCCTAGGTCTAGTCCAGCACTCTTAAGCACTGCACCATGCTGGCTTTCTTATCTTTCTTTGGGGTATGGGAAAAGGGGAACCTACCGCCCACAGAGGGCCAGTCACTGCTTCCTCTGAAAGCAAAGCAAAACTCCTATCTCATTTCTTGGTATTCTCATTTCTTCAGCGGTGACATCACACACACCACAGGCCCAGTGCAAAGTCCCTGTGGACAGCGAGGGGCTCTCCACGAACCCGTGACATTTTGAGGTGGGTGTGATTTAGATCCCTTGTGTTTTTTTGCGTCTCATGTTTCATTCTGTGCCTGAGTGGCAGGCCCAAGTGAGCTTCATGGCTGTGTGGAGATTTGAACCCAGCTCTCCCACAGCCTAGTCAAATCGGTTAGCTACCACACCATGGAACAAGCTCTCCCTTCTTCCTGTCCATCTGGCTGTGACTGTAACTCTCTGCTCAGTACTTTCCCTCCTTCATGGGATGCATCCGATCTTCCTTCAGAGATGAGTCCCATCAACAAAACCCGCCTTTCCCATAAAGCTTTCCCAATGGGCTGATTTGAGTTGTTTTTGATGGTTTACGCTGTCTTTGATTGGATCTTTTTAGAAATAAAAAAAACCCCAAACAAACCCAGTCTCTTTTTTTATAGATGTGTCACGGTTTTCAATGCGGTTCTAGGTTGGTGTTTGAAATGTTTTGTCAGCTGCTTTGAGTGCTGTGAGAACAGCAGATACTGTGGCATGTAAATATTGAACATTAATTCTTAGCTATAGATACAGTGCTTTCAAAGTGTGCAAAAGGGACTTTGCATAAAGTTGGAACGGAACCTTTGGAAAGTCCCTGGAAGATTGCCCAAGAGGGCTTTAAAGGGTTCCCCAGCCCTACCTAGTTTTTTAGACATACTTATGGAGGAGGAAAGGTCTTCCACCCAAGGTCTCCAAATGGAACACCCAGATTCAGAGGCTGTTGGACAAGATGAACCTTGGGCACAGGGCTCTATATCTCACACATATAACAAAAGTTCTAATACTTCTGTAATTATTATCAAAATACTTACGGACTGTCTAACAATCTAAAACCTCAAATTGGTGTACAAAAGGCATGCAATGCCAGCAACCAAAAGAAAACACAGCCTGTGTTTAGAGTGCTGACCTAAGGCTTGGGTGACCCAGATTCAAATCCCCACTCAGCCATACAAAGTTCAGTGGGTGACCTTGGGCCAGTCACAACCTCTCAGCATAAACTACCTTGAAAAGTTCATTGTGAGGATAACAGGGGGGATGGGAGGGCCATGAGCTCCTTGGAGGAGGAATGATGATAGATAGATACTTGGAAGGAACCTTCTTGTCACACACCCTCTTTTCTGAGGGTGCAAGCAGTACTGCGAGTTGCAGGAGGCAACTGATGAATGGGTGTGCGGAATAAAATATAAAATAAGTAGAAATGCAAAATAATAAGGGGGGGGGAGCTGTCTTGGTGGGAGGGAGATCTGCAACAGTAGGCAAGAAATGAAGCGTGCACCAAACAGGGCAGGGGAGGAGCGGAAGAAAAAGAAGGAAGCATCTGGAGAATATAAATACATCCTTTAGATGTGTGGTTTATGTGTGTGTACTTTAACACATGTTAGGAGCATAAGAAAAGCTCTGGAGCTGGATCAGGACAATGGCCCATCTAGTCCAGCATCCTTTTCTCACAGTGGCCCTTCATATGTCTCAGTGGGAATCCCACAAGCAGAATTCCCTTTCTGCAGTTTCCAGCAGCTGGTACCCAGAAGCATTGCTGCCTCTGGCTGTGGAGCCAGAGCATAGCCATCCTGGCTAGTAGCTGTCAAGGAGGGGGGGAGCCCTCTCCAGACCAGGAGATAATAAACATAGCAATTTATAGTAGAAAACAAATACAGGCAACTGAATCTAGCATGGAGCAACTTTGAAGTGAAAACCCAATCCAGCTATCATCTATCTATCTATCTATCTATCTATCTATCTATCTATCTATGTTTATTTAAATAAGGCAAGCTTCTCAATTGCACAAACTCTTAGCCGAGAGTGTAAAAACAAGAAAAGCTAATAACTAAATTCCAATTACCCGTTAATACGTACAAAGAGGAGTTACCATGGGGATATTTTTGCAGCTGCAAAAATTATGGCCGTCAGCCAGCCTGCCCAATCACAAGCTTATCTACAAAGAACCTAACTAACAGCACCTGGGCTTTACTAATTAAGCAAATCAGCACAAGGCTACTTTAACCTGGGCAAAGTAAATTCTTGACAGTAGCCATTGATGGCTTTCTCCTCCTTGAATTTGTCTAATGCTTTTTAAAGCCATCCAAGCTGGTTGCCTCCTGCAGGAGAGAGTTCCATTATCATGCTGGTGGATATCATATCAATATTTGCAAGTCAGAATCTTGAACTGAATGGCCAGTGGGTCTCTTTTGGTAGCTGGCTAATTTGAGAAAGCTAAATCTTGAAAAAGTGACCCCAGGAAGGGTTTTTTTTAGGGTTATTTCAATGTAGATTGCATTTTAAACAGAGGATCCATTCACTCCTGTTTTAAGAGGGATTTTGCCCTCATTGCAATGGCCTATGGGCTACCAGCAAGAACTATTTATTGGCTGGAGAAAGACACCCAATGAATTTAACAAAATACAACAACAGCAATTATGCTCTTTTAAAATGTGGGGTTTATTGGGTTGTTTTTTATTTTGCTTATATATTTTGTGGTTTCATATTCTGATTTTGTTCTGTGAACCTGAGACCTTCGGGTATAGGGTGGTATATAAATTCAGCAATAAAAATAAAAATAAATAAAAATAATAAGTGCACCAGCGCACTAGTCTGGACGTTTCCTGCCTCTAATGAGGAGGGCTGCAGTCCACAAAAGCTGCTGATGCCCAGTGGCGTAGCGTGGGGGGTGCAGGGGGGGCCGGCCGCACCGGGCGCAACATCTGGGGTTAGGGCAAATCCACAGGTTAGGGGGTGCAAATCCACGGGTTAGGGGGCGCAAATTACTTGCCTTGCCCCGGGTGCTGACAACCCACGCTACGCCACTGCTGATGCCACAACCCCCTGAAGATGCTACTGTTGTTTCTGTTGCAGGGCTTCCCGTTTAAATATTATGATTACCCCCCCTCCCCTCCTAATATTCTGATTACCTTTCCAACCCCACCCCACCTATTATTATGATCGCTTCCCCCCTCCCGCCCCAACACCCACACCCACCCCACCCCACCCACTAGGTTGGTCGCTGCAGCAGGAGCGAAGCCTAAGCGCGCTGAGAAGCTGAACCCGGACAGGCGAGCGGGCAGGTGGTGTCGCGAGCTTCCCGGGTCTCCGCCCGCCCGCGCCTGCTGCCTGGCTCGCTTTGCTGCCTGCCAGCCTCTGCCGCCGCCCGCCCGGCCGCTCGCTCGCCCCCCAGGCAGGCGCCGCCGCTTTCCCTTTCTGTTCTCTTCTCCGCTTGGAAGCGAAAGGAGGGCGCGCGAGCGAGGAGAGGGATCCGCAGAGAGGGCGCCTGGAGAGGAATCATGGAAGGAGCCTCCTTTGGAGCCGGCAGGGCAGGCGCGGCGGTGGATCCCTTGGAGTTCCTCCGGCGGCCTCAGACGATCCTTAGGATCATTTCGGGGGTAAGCCTCGCACCCCAAGCCACCCCTCCCTTCGCCACTAGACACACGCCTCGCGTGGCCTTTCAGAGCCCTCCAAAGGTCAACAAGCCTTGGCGTCGTCTGCTGCGCCCCTCCACCATATTAGGGGGGGGGTATTCCAATTTATTATTTTTATGTTGCAGACATTGTGCATGCAGGAGAAGGGAGGGAGGGGCGCGGGCACGCTCAGGTGCGGTGGGAGGAATGACCTTTTTATTTTTGGCGTGTCGGTTTGAAGAAAAGAAATATGACTCTGCATCGTCTGGCGTGTTTGTGGGTTAATGGTCGTGTGGTATGGCAGCTTCTCGGTTTATTTCTGGAGTGCCTAAAGAATCCCCACCTCTTTAAATGTCATTAATTCACCCCCCCCCCCCACACACACACACAGCAGGGGAGGGAGGGGGAATGCATGTGTGCCTTGAAGGAAAAGTCTGCTCCCCCACCTAATTTTCTCCTACTCGGCCCCCCCCCCCCGCTCTGGTCAGGTTGTCTCTTTGCAGCCCCTCTAGGAGATACAGATCTACCCCCTCCCCATGCTGCCAATCTGCTCTTTTGCTACCTGGCTTTGCAACAGAAGGTGTGGAAAGACTTCTCTCTCTGCTCTTTTCTGGATCTGAAACCCACAGCCGAAGGTGTGTGTGTTTGGGACTGAAAAACCGTTCTGCCAGGAGACATTTTTTTTCTCTCTCTCTCCCCGCCCCACCTCCGCCACCTGCCTTGGTGGAAAAAAAGCAAGCATGGCTGAATCCACCTGCAAGGCCTCCCCTTGTCGGAGGGATGGGTGTGGAATGATGTCACGCTTCCTTCTGCTGTGTTTGTCTTTCTTTTTCTCTCTCTTCCTTCTCGGAAGCGAGAGATGAGGGCAGCAGCACCACGGCTGCCCACTTTGATGGCTGCTGGGTGACCGTTCTGGCTGCCCTCCTGGAAGGCGACAGCAAGATGGGCTCGGTTCAAAGGAGGGGCAGAATCATCTCTTGCTCACAGCCCCTTTTTGCTGTGGCTGAGCCTTGTGGCTTGGTAGTGTGGAAGGCAACGACGCTCTCATTTTTTTGTGTATGTGTGTATACAATGGGTGTGTTGTTATTTTTTTTGGTATTATAATATCAGGGGCCTTGTCGGGCTTTTGGAGGGTTCTCGGTGCCACCTCGACTATGCTGCTCACAAATAATTAAATGTAAGATAGGAAACTGCCCTACATTGAGGTTAACTCTTTGATCTCTTTTAGCTCAGTATTGTCTACACTAACCAGCAGAAGCTCTCTGAGGGTTTCAGACTAGAGAGCCACCATGGCATAGTGGCTAGAGTGTCAGACTAGGACCTGGGAGACCTGGGTTTGGATCCCCACTCGGCCATGAAGCTCCCTGGGTGATTTTGGGGCAGTTGCTGACTCTCAGCTTAGCCTACTTTGCAGGGTTGTTGTGAGGATTAGGTGAGGGAGATAAGCATTTACACCACCTGGAGCTGCTTGGAGAAAAAGCTGAATATAGAAAAATAAAATAAAAATTACCTAGACATACCCAGGGATACTGGAGATTGAATTTTCTGCATGCAAAGCAAGTGCTCTACCACTGATGTTTCTGTATGCAACTACTGATCAGTAGTCCTTTCCCCCAAAAGTAAAGTTTCCAGTCCTCTTGGTCTGAATAAAGGGCTGATTTGAATAGCAACCCAGGAAACATTGCCTAGATTGACCATCAGCTTCTGTCCAGGGTTTCCGACAGGGTGTCTATCAAAGCTATACCTGGAGATGCCACTGGGGATTGAACCGGGGACCTTCTGCATGCAAAGCAGATGCTCAGCCACTGAACTACAGCCAGGAGCAGCCCGCTTGTGTGTGGTGGACTGAGGCAGCTGCCTAAGGCAGGGGAATCCCATGGCCCACCCCTGCCGCTGCTACCAGAGTTTTGCGAGATCTCACTGGAAGCAGCCACGTGACCCCAGAAAGCTAGGCCTTGATGGACAGGCAGCAGCAGGGGCAGCCCCTTTCAAAGGAATATGGAGGTGATCAGGCCTCTGTGTAACTAGCTTTGGGATTGCTCAAGGGGGCTGTCCCCCCTCTGCCCCCAATGCGGAGGAGTAGAACAGACTGACTGTGGCTAGAAGAGTTTATGACATTCACAACTTTGTAGGTGGCTATTGAGTACTTTCCGTATGGGGTGTTTCACTCTCCAGCCTATTGAGTTATGATTCTCCCGATTTAGGACCCATCAGTACTACAGAATTAGATTTATTTATCATGTATATAGATGAGAATTTTTTTTCAATTCTGCTCTCCTGGTGTGCAACATCCCACTCAGGGCAGTTAACAACAATCCAGCCCTAAAATGCAATGGAATTCCAAATCAAGCAACAGCAATTTAATAAAATCAGAGACAAACACAACAGATAAAATAAAAAACCAATAGAGCAAATATCCACCTAAACAAGGAGGTTTTTGGCGTCTGGCAGCCTTTGCCAAGCTGGCACTCTCCAGACATTTTGGACTACAACTCCCATCATCCCCAGCTGGCACGGCCTTATGGTACTGGGACTGATGGCAGCCAAAGGCCCAAACATCTGGAAGGCACCAGATTGGCAAACACTGATCTGGAGGAAGCCTTTGCCCATGTAAGACAATAATAACATCGAAACTACCATATGAGCATCCCCAGAATGCCTTCCCTAGGTATCTACATAAGCCTGATTTCCAGCTAGGTAGCCAAATTTGTAGCAGCAAGAAATAAGCTTGTGGCACCTTAAAGACTAAAAATGGTTTATTACAGCCTGAGCTTTTGTGGCACCACCTTCATCAGATGCACGAAGTGTTGGCAGGTATATATAGCTATCTCTCTACATTGTTACACGGGGGAAAACATGAATCACCTCCTTGACTGCAGTCTCTTTCAGGAAATCCTTGACACACATCAGTGCATGGAAATGTTCATAATATCACTTAACACAGATTCATAATCCTTTCAGAAACCCTTCTGGAAACTGGTGCCCTCCAGATAGGAACACAGGAAGCTGCTTTGATACCATGTCAGACCATTGGTCCGTCTAGTGTATTGTCTACACTGACTGGCAGCAGCTCGGCATGATTCCCTCTTAGCCCTACCTGGAGATGCCAGAGATGGAAGCTGGGATGTTCTACATGCAAAGCAGATGTGCTGATGGGAGTTGTAGCCTCAAATGGCCATGCTGAATGGAGCTGGTGGGAATTACAGTCCAAAACATCTGGTTGGGAGGGGGCACGAGGCTGACAAAGATTGCTCCAAGACATTTACTCACTCATTTATGCAGATATAGTGTGTGGAAGTGACAGCTGAAGGAGGCTCCTGTTCCCCTCCTGCAGCTACAATTCCCAAAGTGGTTTAACTATCAATCTCTGTTCCCAAATCTGGGAACTGGAGCTCTGTGCTGGGAATATAGTGGTCCCCTAACAACTCTTAGCGAACTACAGCTCCCAGAATTCTTTGTGGGAAGCCATGACTGTTCAAAGTGACAGCACAGTGCTTTATATGTATAGTGCCAATGTGGCTGACGTCCTCGAAGAGGGGTTGCTAACCTGTGGGCCTCCATATGTTGGCTGGACTACAACTCCCAACATCTCTGATCGCTGGCAATGTGGGCTGCTGGGAATTGCAGTCCCAACATTGTCCAGAGGGCAACAGGTTAAGCCACCCCAGGGAGTCCCAGAAGGACTTTGCTGTAATTTTGTGTCAGGGTTGCAGTGAAATCATCCCAGGGTGCTTTTCACCCTATTTTTGGATAGGAGCTTGAGATCTTCAGACCCTGCCTTGGAACAAGAACTGTTTTCCCTGAGCATTAGCTTAAACCACTAATGGGTTTCACTTTCATTGGAGAGAATGGCAGCTCTCTTGAACATGTTCTTTCGATATGAGATTTCAGGAAGCCTCGCTATAAGAGCTGGAAAGTCCTGGGATGTTTCCTCATTCCAACCCAGTTTGCTTTGTGGTGACAGTTTGCATTCTGCTTTTCCTGCAGTCCTGGTTTGCAATGTGAAAATAAACCTTTCACTTAGGAAAAAAAAAAGAAGGGGGCTTTTTACCAACTGAAACAAAATACAAGTATGGCCTTGTTTTACACGACTGGAGGAAGCAATGTGGTTAAAACCACGTGAACTCTAGTCAGACATTGATATGAGTGTTGATACATAGGGGGTGATACCAAATGTTAGTTTGTACTCAGAGCAGACCCAGTGAAATCAATGAAATCAGATATCTTGAGGCTGGTGATATTAATCTGTCTGTTCTATGACTTAGTGGAACAGCACCCATAGAATCTGGCCCTCTCTGCTACTGCTTGTCCACCCCCTGACCTCTCAGTATCCTTTTGCATGGTACTTCATACTGCCAGTAGTATGGAGGGGTGAATCTCTCAGTTTCGTTTTCTCTCTTTGGCTCTCCAGGTTTCCATACACATGTTTGTTAGAGTCATGGTTAGTGCAGAGTCTCTCAAACTTCAGACCCCTGCTGTGGCTGGACTTCAACTCTCATCACCCCTGACTACTGGCCCTGCTAGCTAAGGTTGATGGGAGTTGTAGTCCAGCAATAGTGGGGACCCAAGATTGAGAAACGCCACGTTTGTGTTATGTGCAAACCCTTCTCAGTGTCTGAGCTATGGTTTGTCTGCTAACAACAAACTGATGTGAAGCCATGGTTTGTTGTTAGCTTACGAACCTTGGTTTTTTGCTTTGCAGAATTTGGATGGCACCACATTGTTTGCTGGGAAATTAGACAATGTTGATTGCCATACAGCTACCCTGCAAACAAATCTTGGATTTCTGCATGACAGGAGTTGGGCTAAATGACCCTTCGGGTCCCTTCCCAACTCTACAATTCTGTGAAATCGGTATGAATTCTCAGGCTGTGTCCACACTAACTTTACATTATGTACTTACCATGTTTCCAGGGCTGTTTTTTCCATCCTTGTTCACCTGACATTATCCAGAATGCATACGTGCCCTGTACTTCATTAGGAAA